TATATTTTTCTAGAACTATACGCACTATATGTATCACTATACGCACTATACGTATAGTACTGATCTGCCCATCTCTACCCATAGTATTTCATTTTAAAAAAAATTTTTTTTTGTAATAATAATTAATGTGTCACAATAAAAGTTTTTTGATAAATCAATTAAATAAATGTTAATAAATAAAACAATTAAAAATAACATGAATATGCAATTTTTATCAATTTCGTCAGAATATTACACATGTATCTATATTGTATTTTTATGAACTGGTTTTTGATACAAAGTAAGGATGTTATTAGTTAATTAACGGTTGATTTAACTTGTCTGTAAAAAACCAAACTTTTAGTTAGTTATCCAGGTCTTCACACAATCCTTGGCAAATTGTTAACACAATGCTTGTCAGTAAAGTGTCCTGTCGGTAAAGTGTCTTGTCGGTAAAGTGGGTGTCGGTAAAGTGTCCGGGTCCGGTAATATATCAATTTGTTCTAAATTTATTTTGTTTATTTAATTTACACTGCCTATGTTAAAGAACATGTATAAGCACAAAAATGAAAATGAAAATGAAAATATAAACGAATGCAAGGAATCGAATAAATATAAACATGAATAAATATGCAAAAATATGAAAAAAAGAAAAATGCATAAATGATATCAATCTAGGTTGAAAATGTATATATAAAATTGTGAATGTATGCGTATGTATTACAGGCCAGCTGGTATTACTATCTATTTACATATATGACATCTTTTTCTTTTTTTCACCTTGAGTCCATTTTTGTTGGTTGGTAAGATAGAAATATCGGCACAATTTAAATAAACTTCCTTAAATGAACTTAGAACCCATATAAAACGAAGCGTGCAAATTTCGCAATTAGTATTTTTTAGGAAGTTGTACATCGGCTTGAAAGTTTTCACCGATTTTTTAGGAATGGTTTTAATGGTTTTAAAGGCATTATCTTTTCCGGTTGTTGACAAAACAAGTACCTCCCAAAGGTTCTGTAATTTCCCATTGAACGTTTACGACTTGATTAGTAGTATATGTTATTAAAACTTTTCCAGGACCTAACTTGTTTCCACAAGGATGATGTTTTGTTGGTGAGCGTGCATTCCGAAAGTTATTTTTAACATCATTCTTTGTAAGTCAGATTTCTGGTAATATCATACGACCATTGGCAGCTGCATTGATAGTAAGGAATAATAGGATAGCAAGGAATATTTTTATGATAAAAGAAAATGGCGATGATGATGATGATGATGTGGGTATTTAGGAAAGGATTTGTTTAGAAATGAATGTGTAGATACTTTTAAAAATAAAACTTGATTTATGTGGAATGGAATCAGCAAATATAGTAAATAGTAATAATAATAATAATAATAATAAATAAGATTATGGTTTGGGGCATGTGTAACCAACTATTTATATTTACTTTTACTATTATATAATCC